TTTAATAATTTGTAATTTTATTGTAATTTTAATAATTCAATTGTATTAGTTTTATTTTTAACATTTTTATTTTGTTATGGTTTTATTGCTATGTTTTAACGTTGTTGTATTGTTCCGTTTATCTCTGTATTGCCGCCTCGATCCGCAGGGAGAGGCGGGATATATAAATAAATTATTATTATTATTATTATTATTATTATTATTATTATTATTATTATTATTATTTGCGGAGAGAGAGCGCCGTCGGAAAGAGCAGCTCTACCATTGCGGTTTTGCGAAAGATGTAGTAGTCTTCTCCGTCAGAGAGCTCTGGTGAGAGAACAAACTACAGATTCCAGGAACCCGGCGGGAACCACTTTAACACGGAATCCTGGGATCTGTAGTTTGCTCTGACACCAGTGCTCTCTGATGGAGAAGGTTAAACGTTTCACAAAGCTACAGTTCCCAGAATTGCATAGCAATGATTGAGTCACAGGCAGTTAAAGTGGTGTCAACCTGGATTATTTCTGCAGTGGAGATGCAGCCTCTTAGGGCCTTTACAGACTGCCAGAAATAAATAATCCAGTTTGAGAGCACTTTAACTGTCCTGGCTCAGTGCTAGGGAGTCATGGGAACTGTATTTTTTTCTGGGACATTGAGCCTTCTCTGTCAGAGAGCTCTGGTGCCATAATAAACTACAGCTCCCATGATTCCCTAGCACTGAGCCAGGGCAGTTAAAGTGGCCTCAAGCTGCATTTTTTCTGGCAGTCTGTAAAGGCCTTAGTTAGGAGAGAGGAGAGAGAATTCTGTGGTCCTCTTCAGTCTCTCCTATCTGATTCTCTCCTGTCTCAAGTCCCCCCAGTCACTGTGTTGGAGAACCCAAGTCCCACCATGGTCAAAACAAAAAGCTCATCCCCACCACCACCAAGAGGATCATTATATGTGTCAGAAATGTACAATGTTCTTGTTGTTGTTCTTGTTGTTGTGTACCTTCGAGTGGTTCCCGACTTATTGCGGGGTTGCTTGGCAAAATTTGTTCAGAGGTGGTTTCCCATTGCCTTCCTCTGAGGCTGAGAACATGTGACATGGCCAAGGTCACCCAGTGGGCTTCATGGCCAAGTGGAGAATTGGACCCTGGTCTCCAGAATCATAGTCCGACACTCAAACCACGACACCACTCTTGGTCCCTAACATGAAAATACCATAGTATTGTTGGAAGTAAACACAACCAAAAATAATTGTATTGGTAATGGGAGTATGTCCTGATACTGCAGGACATAAATTTTGTTGTTGTTGGAGTATTAGCATCAATACTTGTGTGTAGTTCTGTGTTTCCTTGAGAAGGGGGTGCGCTACACAGGAACACTGATGTATATATCTCTATAGTCATTTGGTCAGTGTTGTTTGTGAAGAGGCCACTTCCCTCCTCTTCCTGGGGATTTCTTTCTGGGGAAATAAAGTTTTATGATTCATTGGTCTGCTAGCACACTTTCCTCTCTGCTCTTACCAAGCATGGACTCAGAAACCAGGCTTTGCTCCTAAAGAGGGTTTTCTTCTTTCTTGCATACATGGAGGTCAGATATCTAGGGACCTCTGTACCAAAGTATAGTTTTCTTTACTGAGTAGTTATTTTTATAGGACCTAGATGTAACAATAAAATAAGTTTCTCTTTACCTACCTATGTATCCTGTTTATTTACCAGAAGCTCAGATCTAGTTGTTTTTACCAAATACCTGTGGAAGACACACTTTGTTGCTGTGCTGCTGCTGCTGCAAAATAGATTTAACCACAAATTAACCAAAAACCATAAATTTTGATAGTTATTACAGTAACTGTAAAACATAATGCAAATTAAAGATTACAGATGTATATTTGGTTTGAGTGTTGGATTAGGATTCAAAGAGACCAGGGTTCAGATCCCTGATCAGCCATGAAAATCAACTGGGTGACCTTGGCAAGTCACACTCTGGCACAAGAAGCCAGTGGCAAGCTACCTCTGAGCAGTTCTTGCTAAGAAAACCCCTTGATAGGGTCACCATAAACCGGAAACAATTGGGAGTAATTTTTCTGTGACACTTGTGTTGCACTTAGATATTTCTGTTTGACACCAGTATTATGCTACATTCCTGTGGTACATGTATCCCTGGTAGAGAAGCACTATTTAGTGTGGTCTGTCTCCATATCTCCTCCTCAATCCTGCAATTTAGTGGAAGTGACATGAGATGTTTATAATGCCAAAACTTCATAAGAAGTAACACAATCTTGTATTTCTAATGTTTTGAAACACCAGTATCCTGTGGCACCTGAATTAACAGATTTATTTTGACCTGTGCATATTTTGGAATAGCTATACTGTACTTAATTCTGTTGATCTTTAAGTTACTGTCGCAAAGCCCTTCTTTTGGTAGAGCATGTGGACTAGCACTGATGGACACCTTCTCAGAGCATCCATCAGTGTTAGTTTGCCTGCCCTTCCAAAACAAGGATTTTGTGACAGTGACCCTAAAGATCCCTTATCTCTCATCCCTTGCTTGGCAAGAAATCAACTGTGAGTTGTTGGCAATGGAAACATTCTGTATTAAGTAGAATAAAGATGTTCTAAAAATGTCAAACCAATGTTATTAATATTTACTGTATGGCTCCTTCAAATAGTTTTATTAATGTAAATAGAAAGGTCAGTTAAGTAATTATGACATGTAACCTCTGTTCTGACAATTTGTAATGGATCATTGAAGTGAAATTGTATCTGGAACCTCTATAAAGCAGTATGATACCTTTCTTTCTGCTTTTGAATGGGGGCTGGAGCTGGATTAATTTCATTAATGAGCCTTGACTAGTTAAACGAACTAGATAACTGGTTTTAAAATATTTTATTAAGTAAAGATTGAGTTGCTAGTTGACAGTTCTGATATTAAACTGTGGAGATCTGATTTTATAAGCAATGCTGAAACTTTCTCAAGTCTTCTACTTTACTTCTCTGAATTTTTTCCATGTGACATATAATCACACATCAGATTTCAGCTAGGGAGAAAAGTTCCTGGGAGACAGACAATGGGGAGATAAGCTGTATGCAGGAGGATAAATTATCTGCCTCTGTTCTAAAATTCCATTTTATATCTTGCTTTTTATACCTTTTAAGTGAAACCTGCTATCAATAGGGACTGCTTAGGCTCATCTTTGGCCTTGCTCTAAGATAAGATCTGTTCATTAGGTAGATGCTCAACTGAGATGGTAAAATGCATCTGCTTGGGAAGATAATACAGTATTTGTAGCACTGTCTCCATATAGCACCTCCCTGCATGAAGATGTAATAAATTGACAGGACTAGCCTGGCATTTCATAGTCAGCAATTACAGTTTTTCCGAGAGTAAGAAGTTAAAATTCAAGAACATCTGCTAATGCACATACAAAGCAATCGAGCCACTGAATACTGGCCTAGGCAAAATCCACATTAGCAATGTTGGATTGTGACCTGGGGAGGCTTCAAGTTCTTTCTGATATCACATCTCCTTTGATCATTCTGTTCTTCTGAAATATTTTCAGTCGTTTTTCCCCTCTTTGCAGTGAAAATATGTATTAGTTATGATAATCAAGGTATTAGGATAATCTGATCTATTTTAGCATGAGGTTTTGTGGGTATCAGTCTGCTTCTTCAGATAGCCTAAGTCCCTGACATCAAGAATATCTGAAGAAGTTATTGATATCCACAAAAACTCATACAAAAATAGATCAGATTGTCTTAAAAGTGCTGCTAGATTCTTCTTCCCCATCTGTTTTTTAAAAAAACTTTTAAAGCTTCCCCCCCCCCCCCTTAGCCTCTCTCCATATTGTTTGTGGGTCAGTAGGTAGATTTATGCAGTGAATGCTTATAAATTCTAATATATAGAATTGTGTCAGTGAAGCCATTTATCCTTTCACTTGTTAGAAAAATTAACTAACTTTTTCAATTAAGGTCTCTCTGCCTATCTGTCACTATTTATCTATCTGTAGGTCTTCCTTTGCTTTCTCTTGTTGAGAACATAATGAGAGGCAAGCAGTTCAATCAATAGAAATGTCTTTTTTTGCCCTTATGAATTTTGGGAAGAGTTTTTTCTTATCTTACACCCATTGGCTGAGTCCCTTTTTTCTTCTTTTGCTTTTTTCAGTCAGTATTATATTTATCCAATTAAATCACTATCACCAATTTCCCTCAGAAAATCAGGAATTTCTAAT